TCGATTTTAATGACACTACACCACTAAAGACACTCAAAGGAGCTACTCATAGTCTATGGAGCTCAATTATTTCATAAAGTCTCCACCTTTTGGGACAAAACCCTAAAATGCTCTAATATGATGCACAAATCAAAAGAGTGAGAAAGCTTGGAGCTTTATACCTCTAGATGAAGCTCCCAACTCAGATATGCTTAGATCCAAGGCCTGGACTCTCACTCCTTCTTCTCCAAAGCTCCTTCTTCACTCTAAGAACACACAAAATCACTTAAAGGCTCTCAAATGGACTCACAATAACGAAGGTTTAGGGTTTTAAAGGGTTGTTTGTCTGAGGATGGTTGCCAGGAATGAGGCCATCATATCCTTTATATAGGGACACACCCCAAATTAGGGTTTTCACTCTGGACCTAGTACGCCTGACGTACTAGGTGGCTTCCGCATCAATAACACGCACATGAGTACATCGAGCGTACATTTTCATACGCCCCGCGTACCCATTTGCCACCTTTTCTCTATAAGGGTTAAACTTGACAAGTACCAAAAGAACAAGGGGTTATAAGGTATACCTGGACTTGGGATGTTACATTAGATATTTTATAAAATAATGCATTTATCGGCTTCATTTAAAAACTTTATCAAACATCATGTTTTCATTTATATCCAAATTCATCAAGTGATTCTAAATTATTTAGGCTTTGGATCTATTGAACACCAAATCATTTGTTTTTTTAATCAAGATCATCAAGAACTTTTGAAATCATTCAAAAAAAATTATCAAATAGAAGTCTAATATCTCATATCAAACTCTCGCCTAGTTTGACTTTTTTTTGCAACTCAAGCTTCTACCATGGTCTAAACTAAAATGAAATAGCTTATAACAAATGGCTTGTACAGACAAAAAGTACATAGTATATGGGATTTAATAAAAGGAAATTGAGTAATCTAACTATAACAACATAAACTTTCAAGCCAAAATTTTCATTTTTAAAACACATAAAAACTCATAATATATTTCTCAAAAACATAATTGTTCAAGTGTCAACACAAATCCACATCAAAATGTCATTATCCTAGAATCTTCCACATATTCTCGAAATCGGTGTGTACAATCAAGCTGACGCCTTCCCGTGATCCTGAGAAGTACCTGAAATACATATCACCCAACACAGTAAGCACAAAGCTTAGTGAATTTCCCAAAATACCACATACACAAATAATAAGCCTCTCATGGATATAGCTCGGCATGGACCCTTCAGTCATGCGTCTCGGTGTGGAGCCTCCGATCTCAAGGCTCGGTGTAGACCCTCTGATCATGTGTCTTAGTGAAGACCCCTCGGTCTCACAGCTCGAGTTGGACCCTCCAGTCCTGTATCTCAGTGAAGACCCTCCAGTCTCACAACTCAGTGTGGACCCTCCAGTCCAATATCTCAGTGAAGACCCTCAGTCTCACAACTCGGTTTGGACCCTCCGGTCCAATCTCAGTAAAATACAAAATAACATAACATATATCACAAAGACAAAAATGCATAATATCATATAACTCAATATAAGCACATAGGACCCTCTGGTCGATAACTCAAATAAGACCCTATGGTCACTCAGGCAAGTATAGTGAGAAGACTCACCTCATAAGCAAGCAAGGAAACTGGATACCTCTCGAACAGCCTAATCTCCATCTGCACGTAATAAGCACATCTAATTAACACATAAAGATAAAAACTTTGTATCAACTCATGCTAAACCCTCTCTAACTCTTGGGAGGGGTGAAAGACCATTTTACCCATCCATGGTCCCCATAATCCTTGCCTTGACCAAACCCTAAAGTCAACAGAAGTCAACACTCGAGTCAACTATCCATGTTGATCTGACTCGCCGAGTGCATCTATATGACTCGTCGAGTCCCCATTGTTCCTCAGAACATCGCGAAAACCTAACTTAACTCGCCGAGTTGTCTCATCAACTTGCCGAGTTACCCTTGTCCAGACCCATCGGGGTAAAACCCTAGTCGACCCGTTGAGTCAGCTCATTGATTCAGCGAGTCCATTCAGTGTGTATTCTCATTCAGAAGTTTCAAGGCAGATCCACCACTCCAAACTCTAGATCTAGTCTCCTAAGGCTCGAATGTCACGTAAAGCTTCAATCTTTACATTCATGCATGACATATTTGCTCCATAATGCCAATACAAGCTCCAGCAAGGGTTAGATGCACAAGATCTTGTCTCTAGCTCAATAAAGTTCAGGTATTTGGACTCACAAGACCTCCTACAATCCAGATCTAAGTTTTCAACCTCAAATCATGCTCAAAGGACTCAATGACACAAAAAGGATGGGAGAAAACCCTAGAAACTCCCTAAACCAAGATCTCATAAGGAAATGATCAAGTTAGCATATTTTTTCCTCCAACTGAAGCAAACCCTGAAGAACCTCTAGATCCAAAGCCTCCTCTTGATCCAAGCTTTGGTGCTATCCACTTCTCCTTCAAAAGTGAACTAATAATCACAAGATTAACTTGTCTCTCACTCTTTAGCTCAAGTGGACAATTAGGGTTTCTCTCAAGGAAGTAAGGTGGCTGGTGAAGTGGAAATGAGTGCTTAAGGCCCCTTAAATAGGTCATAAACCTGAAGATTTAGGGTTTCCTCACACACCGCTAACTCGTCGAGTTGGTCATTAAACCCACGTGACCAATCCAACCCTACTCGACGAGTCGGGCACACAACTCGTCGAGTCACTCATTAAATCCCAAATATATATATATATATATATATATATATATATATATATATATATATATATACACACACACACATTATCCATATATATACCTGAGAGTTGGGATGTTACACTAACCCTTATAAATGACATTTTTGATAAAAATGACCATTTTTTGGTAAAGTAACCACATTCTCTGGAACACATTGTTCCGGAGAGGTCTCCCGAATTCCGAAGTACGATTCCGGACCATGGTTTCAGAATAAATTAGACATTTTTTGTGTGTAACATGTGGTTTTTCGTTTAGTATAAGTTTTGGTTTTATATAATGTATAAGTTTCGCTTTCATAAAATATATAACTTTTGGTTTCATAAAATATAAAATGCAATTAAAATCAACAAATAACTAATAAATACATAAACAAAATAAATGATGTGTCTGTAGGTCATATTACAAATACAACATTCAAATTATCTTTGTCCTTGTACCCCAAAAAAAATCCGCTAGTCATTTTTGATAACCCATAGCCCAAGGACCGATGGTTTTATCATTTATAGAAATTTATTTTCCAGTGATCAACATCTCCAGGAACCAACACAAAAACACCCCACAATCCCCTCTGTCACCAATCTGTTGTGGTACATCTGAGGCTTTTTCGAGGGTCATCTTGAAGTTCTCAAGTGGGATTGAATCAGTTGGTTTGGTATCCTAGTAGTTTACTCCCACTAGCAGTTTATGGATGCAGACTCTCATACCTATAAACCAATCCTCATTTTCCAAACAGTAGCCCTCTTCCAATAACTATCGTATATAGTCATTTGGAATGTCTTCAAATCCAAAGCACCCAAAAACCAATGAGTATGTGGTATATTGATTGGGATGTAAAGCTACACAAAAAGTTAGAAATAATAAATTAGTATATAAATACTCAGGTAATGTAATCCAAACAAAATTATACTGTATCACACTCTGCCCAAGTTGGATAAACGGATCTGTCAGCGATGTCACTCTAGTCAAATGTATGAATGTATCAATGTTGAAAGTTGACAGCATAACCGTCCACCAAGCATCATCTGCTTTATGCTCTAGCAACATTGAGATCCACATTATGATGTGCTGTCACTTAATTTTTTTGCAGTAAAGTAAGTATTGTTGTTATAATTATGTTACTTACATCACACGACAACGATCCTCTATGACTATCTGCATATAACCGTGTCAAGAACTCAAACGTAGCAAAACCGGTCAAATAATTGTGACCAAACAACAACGAGCTATCCCGTTCTTTATATACACTGTGTATGGTAGGCTCTAAAAGATTGTCCAACGGTGCTGGTTGTTGCAGTGTAACATCTTTCCTCTTCATTTGTATCCATGGCGACTTATACCATACGGACATGACTTTTTGGTGTTTAGAATGCCAACGATGTGTTGACGATGGTGTTTTGTATTCATCCGGTGAAATATCTTTTACATTCTTCGATTAAATAACCAGAGAAGGCTATTCAGGGTCATCATTTAGCGGGTTCATCAATTTTGACAAGCAAAGCGAGTTCATTGTGTTCTGGAACAGTTCCTTGCGTTCCAGAGGCTTCTGGAATGAACTTTTAAGATCCGGAACACGCCATTTCGATGTAAATCAACAATACCTAAACATCTAAACTACTTTTCAGTTGGTCCTACAATAATGACTTCTTTAATTTAAACTCCGGAACGTTTTCATTTCATTCCGGAGGTGTTCTACGAATTTTGAAACATTAATAGTAGAAAGTTAGGCACCTTAAACAAACAATGAAACTATGTAAAGAGAAAATGATAAACGTACCCATAAAATAACGGGGTCGTAGTGCTCGTCTTCCATGTTGGAGATGAGTGTCGGAGATTGGAGTTGCGTGTCGGAGACGAGTGTCAGAGATCGGAGTTGCGTGTTGGAATTGAGTCGGAACGTTAGAATCAGAATGCATCTTTTCGGAATGAAGTCCTCACCTCAAATTATATTCCAAATTTTGAAATTCGAAATCCCGATCCGAAACATATACGGTTGATCTGGAGTAGGCATTCCGGATCGAATAAAATGGGTCGGGGCACCCGTAAAATAGACCAAAATACGTTCCGAAACAACCCATTCCAAAATATTTAGTTATTTTATAAAAAAATAAAAAATAGGTCATATTTTTTAAAAAACACCCGAAATAAATGTTAGATTACTGGATTTCCCTTCAAGAAAACATTGTATCTATCATCAAAGATCGTAAAAACCTAACTTAATATCATAAACTTGAGTAGGCGCCACATGGTTTCTTGTTGGTGGGCCCTCGGTAACCTTTCTCAGTGGCCAGTAAGTGACCTCCCTCTCCTGCACTCTCCTCACCTTTTTCTTCACTATCGACCGAAACAACCCCCTCTCATCTTCATCACCTCTCTTTAAAGTTTATATCTTTTTAGTAGCATCAAACAGAGGATCATTCTTCTTATTCATGCGCGCTTACCCGTTTCCTCTCTTCTGTTAGGGGGTTTCTGTTATTTAATAGGCCCGCTATTAAATAACACAAAGTACTGCTGTTCTCACCATTGGCTAAATAATGCAGTCACCTTTTTCTTCTTTTTTGTGCTTTTAATCTTCTACTAGACTCTTTGTAACTTTTTTCAGGCAAAGACAGAGGAGAACCCAGATGGGGACTGATCGTTTCTTGTTCATACTCTTCTTCTCTGTTCTTGTTCTCAATTTAGACATCACCACATCCCAGACTCCAGGTTCACCTCTCTCTCTCTCTCTCTCTCTCTCTCTCTCAGTCTCTTTCTCTCTCAATTGCATGCATACGGTAATTATTTGTTAATTCTGTAAGTGGGTTCTTGTTTTCTTGAGCTTTAATTGCGTGCCTATATGAAATTGCGGTAGAATTACCCTTTTCTTGATGGGTTTCTTGATTGACGTGGGTTTCGTGCCTCTTGAAGTTTTAATTTTTGTATTCTTGTTTTTGTATTTCTCTTTGGGGCTTACTTAGAACACTTCTGGGGTGATATATTTGTCAATCTTTAATGTAGTTTTGACTGTAATGTGCATAAATTTAGTTATAAAAATTCTGACATTTGAGGCAAAGTTCTGGATACCAAATTAAGAAACTTTTGGGTTCAAAATTATGCCCTAATTGGAATACAAAGCTGCTATAAACTATGTCCTTTTAGGGGAAATTAGCTCATGACTTCATTATCTAATGAAGGTAAATATATTGTTGTGCACCATTCCCCAATTGTCGTCTCATTTTTTCTAGCATTTACAGAGTGAGAAACTGAGAATAATTTAATTAGATAATAAAGCTATGATCATTCAAGTAATTCTACTAATTGTATCGATTTGTTTATGCTCAACAGATTTTATAAGTATCAACTGTGGAGGTCAAAGCAATTTCACAGACGATCTTGGGCTTGACTGGATTCCCGATAATCAAATCATTTATGGGAACACGAGTAACATATCAGTCACAAATGAAACAAGACAACAATATCAAACAGTTAGATATTTCCCAGGAGACAACAGAAAATATTGTTACACACTTAATGTTGAAAGCAGGACTAGATACCTCATAAGAGCAACATTCTTATATGGAAACTTCGATAGCAACAATGTATACCCAAAATTCGACATCTCCTTGGGCCCCACTCACTGGGCTACAATTGTCATTTCAGATGCCAACACTATCGAATCTCAAGAACTAATCTTTTTAGCTTCAGGGACTTCCATTAGTGTGTGTTTATCAAATGCAACAACTGGGAAGCCATTTATTTCCACCCTTGAGTTAAGACCTTTCAACGGGTCTATCTACCTTACGCCTTTTGAAAACCAATTCTTTCTTAGTGTTTCTGCAAGAATCAACTTTGGGGCAGAAAATGAAGATCCGGTTAGGTACCCGGATGACCCGTTTGATAGAATATGGGAATCGGATTTGGTAAAGAAAGCCAATTACTTAGTTGATGTTGCAGCCGGAACGGAAAGAGTATCGACGGAATCACCGATTGACACCGGAAAAGACGAGCAGCCGCCTCAGAAAGTGATGCAGACAGCGGTTGTAGGGCGGAATGGGACTTTGACTTACCGAATGAATTTGGATGGGTTTCCGGGGTTTGGCTGGGCTTATACTTATTTTGCAGAAATTGAAGATTTACCCCCTACAGAAACAAGAAAGTTCCGTTTAGTCCTTCCGGGAGCACCGGAATTGAGTAAACCGGTTGTTAACATTCAAGAAAATGCTCAAGGGATGTATCGTTTGTATGAGCCTGGATTTGAGAACATAACACTTCCGTTTGTTTTGTCTTTTAAGTTTGGGAAAACAGCTGATTCTTCTCAAGGGCCTCTTGTGAATGCTATTGAGATTAGTAAATATGTGAAAATAAGTGATGGGTCTTTTGATGGTAAGTGAAAAATGAAGTTTCTTGAAAAAAGATTGAATTTTTTTTTTAATGATTATTGTTTTGTTTGATTTATAGGAGATGTTGCTGCTAGTTTAGTTTCTGGTTATCAGTTGTCAGATTGGGGGCAAGAAGGTGGTGATCCATGTTTACCAGTTGCATGGTCATGGTTGGTTTGTAATTCAGATCCTCAACCCAAGATTATCTCAGTGTAACTAACTTCTTTTATCTTTCTTGATCTTGACCTAACATTGTTAAAAGTTTTTAACTTTTTAAGCAACCCATTTTGTAAAATTTGGTAAAGATTATCAAGTTGTGACTTTTGGTTGAGTATCTAAAATACCCTTCAAGATTGACATGTTAGATGAGTAGTTTGACAAAAAAAAAAAATGAGGTGTTATTTGACTTTTTATGCAGAAAATTGACTGGCAAGAACTTAAGTGGAAGCATTCCTTTGGATTTGACCAAGTTGACTTACTTAGAACAGTTGTAAGTTTCAATCTTTACCTTTTTTTTCTTGATGTTTAATGAATCTTTGCAAGTTTGACCATTAACTTCTAATGTTGTTGACTATAGATGGCTTGATGGGAATGCACTCACGGGTCCTATTCCTGATTTTAGTGGATGTCAAAACTTAAAGATCATGTAACACATTTTTTTAATGATTTAATCATCCTATGTGATTTAATATTTTTGTAATCTAAATCATGTTTTGACTACACAGACATCTTGAGAACAATCAGTTGAGTGGTGAATTGCCTGCCTCATTAGCAGACCTACCTAATCTAAGCCAACTGTAAGTCGCTTTATGTGGATTGGATATTTAGATAAAGATGCATGTTGTTTGTTAAGTTTATATTGATTAGCTCTATATATATAATATACTTGATTCTTTTTTGAATCTAATGTATGTAGGTATGTGCAAAATAACTTGTTATCAGGAGAAGTGCCTTCCGGTTTTCTGAATGAAGGCTTAATCTTGAAGTGAGTCTTTCTTCTTTACTCTTTTTTTTTTCTCCCTGAAATGATGTAATTCATTTCATGTTGCTTATAAGTCATAAGCATGTTTAGTTGTCTATTTGGTTGAATGGAATGAAATGATGAAGAAATGGAATGACCAAGGTAATGGAATAAGCAAGGTGATGGAATGAATCATGATATTCATTGATCATGTTTGGTTGAGCTATTTTTAGAAAATAAAATTATAATTCAACTAAACCATGAAATTTAACAAATTGGAAAGGATCAGACTCCTTCACGAACGGATCATTCCATTCCATTCCATCAGGCAAAACAAACAACTTTTGTTTCATTCCAATGGAATCAACCATTCCATTCCTTCTTCGATTCCGTCATAGCAAAACACTACATTAGTGTTTTTATATCAATCAAAATATGATTCAAACACTTTTAGATTTGCACACACAATTACCCTATTTCTTGTTTTCATGATCTCAGCTACACAGGAAACCCAAATCTTAGAAAAGAAGGTAGTGGAGGAAGACGAAATAGAAACATAATCATAGGATTAGCAATTGGGGCAGCTGCCCTATTTTTAGGGTTCATAACCTCATGCATACTCCTTCGCCAACGCAAGAAATATCCCAAACAAGGTGAGCTCGCGACACCTGTCACACCACTTTCATGCACATGTTCTTCTTCTCCGATAATTAATTAATCCATTCGTGTTTTTATGTTTTTTCTTTTTGTTTTTTGCAGAGCCTAAACATGGTATGCCTGTGATGAATAATGCAACCACTGAGGCTGCTCAATGCTTCACATTATCCGAATTAAGAAATGCTACAAAGAATTTTGAAAAGAAAGTTGGGTCTGGAGGATTTGGGACTGTGTACTATGGAAAATTAAATGATGGAAAGGAAATTGCAGTTAAACTTCTTGAGAATACTAATGTTTATCAAGGCAAGAAAGAGTTTGCAAATGAGGTAACTTTTGTAGTATAAAGTGATCATTGTTTCTATTCATAGTACATCTCAATGATATACTTTTTTGTGGTGTTCAAGGTGACTCTTCTTTCAAGAATCCATCATAGAAATTTGGTACAGTTTCTTGGGTTTTGCCAAGAAGATGGGATGGATATTCTTGTTTATGAGTTTATGCATAATGGAACACTCAAAGAACATCTTTATGGTTAGATTCAGATCTTGTTGAATGTTGACCCTTTTTTGATCTTGACCCAATTCAAATTTCAAGTTTTTTTGTTGTGATGACAAATGTTTATGTTTAAATTTAGGACCTTTAGCAAGGGCACGTGGCATTAAGTGGATCAAGCGACTTGAAATTGCTGAAGAGTCTGCAAAAGGTATGCTTTATTAGAAATCAATATATCATCAAGATTTAGGCTAATTTCATGTTTTTTTTTTTTTTTTCAATTTGTTATAGGGATTGAGTACCTTCATACGGGTTGTGTCCCATCTATTATCCATAGAGATTTGAAAACAAGCAACATTCTTCTTGATAAGAACATGAGAGCTAAGGTTTCAGATTTTGGCCTCTCAAAGCTTGCAGTTGATGGGACTTCACATGTTTCAAGCATTGTTCGTGGCACTCTTGGCTATCTTGATCCCGAGTAGGTTTTTCCATATTTCTAAATATGCGAGCTTCTATAATCTCATTTGGCTAAAAAAGTTCACTATGATATTACCTGTGTATTATAGGTACTATATTTCAAATCGTTTGACAGACAAAAGCGACATCTATAGCTTTGGTGTCATTCTTCTCGAGCTAATCTCAGGTCAAGAAGCAATTTCAAATGAAAACTTTGGCATCAATTGCAGGAACATCGTTCAATGGGTAACTTAACTCCGATGCTGTTTCTTTTTTACTCAACGGATGAATTAAGCCCTAATAAGCCATGTAAATCGTTTGATGACAGGCGAAGATGCATATAGAGAATGGGGACATTCAAGGAATCATAGATCCAGCTCTTGGTAACGAATATGACATCCAATCGATGTGGAAGATAGCAGAAAAGGCTTTGATGTGCGTGCAACCTCATGGGAACATGAGACCTTCGATGTCTGAAGTTATCAAAGAAATACAAGATGCGATCTCGATCGAGAGGGGAGTAGTGGCTGCTGCACGAGAACGTAGTTCTGATGAAATGTCGAGGCATTCGATGTTGAACATGGGGTCTCTTGATTTAATGGGCAACGATCACGATTTGTCGATTGATGAATCCATTAATCGACCTGGTGCGCGATAACGTCGATTCTCATTCGTTCTGTATTTCGATTTTTTCAGGTTATTTCATGTTTGATGTTTGAAATGGACGTTGGGTTTCGAGTAGTTTTTGTTAGAATGGTGGTGTTATGGAGGTGTGAGTTTTTGGTAATTTTGCAAGTTTTTTGTAGTTGTAGGGGTTGGGTGTAAATTTGGAGGCGTTTTGGACTTACATTTAAAATATTTTTCAATTTGGTAATTAAGGTATAGTTTGTTTGTGTTTTGATGAGTTAAACGTTTTATTTGATAAGTGGTTAGTTGGTATATGTCTCAAATGTCTCACTCTATATCAAATGTCCCACAAAACTTTGATCACTCTATGAAGCAAACCATAACCACTACATGCTTCTAGTGTGATCAATAAAATAAAACAGTAGGTAGATGATACTTGATTTAACCAATAAATATTACCAACAAAAAAATATAATATAGATCTAAAACTTCATGTAAAAATCTATCAACTTCCTAACAAATGATGTTTAGCCCATAATAGAAACAAGGAACCAAACAATATTCTTAAAAGTAATTTTTTTTTGCACATGATTGTAAAACAAAAATATTAACTACTTTAATTAAAATGTGTATATCCCTCACATCCAAGTGAGAGAAATGTTGCGTACTCAATAAATGTTCCATAATCGATGTTTACCTTCAAAAATATTTTCTTTGTTAAGAGAAAGCCCAGAAGATCACCTTCAAAGTCATTATAAAGCCTACACGCTTTAAGTGGGCCGATACGACTTAAGAAGTTACCTGACACATCTCATACAGTTTGGGTATGTTTTGGTGAAATCAACACAAAGTCATGTTAAGCCACAAAGTCGTGTTAAGACGAAATTGAGCTTTCTAATTAAGTGGTTTGCTTGTGGGTCCCCACATAGTGACAAAGTCACAAAAATCTAATTTTCTCATGTTTTCATAGGTCAAGACCCATTTTGATTGGTGCTCCCGTAGATATTAACAGGTACGACATGGATTCCCTTATTGTGAGAGTCCAACGGTTAGGATGCAAATTTTCATAAAAGATATTTAAGGTTTAAATCTTGCATACCCAAAATATCGATAGTGCTCTGCAATTTACCCCTAAGTAATAGGCCCTGAGGCGGGTTCTACTTGATCTGTCTAGACTGTGTGACTTACACTTTTCTTACGACATGGTTTGGTCCTTTTTTGATTCTCGATCTACCAAGACTCGTAGTAAAAGGGGATGTTATTTGAAAACAAATATATTAATATATGTTAAATGTGACTTGAGCATTTGAAACATTCTCAAGGAGCATTTGAGTTCAATGGACCAATTGGAACTCAATGGAGCACTTGGGGTTCATGGAGCATGTAAGAAAGGAACAAATCATCTGAGAAAGGAATGTATCATCTAAGAAAGGAACAGATCAAGTGCCAAAGGAACGAATCGTTTAAAAGGGTGTACGTAGCATCTGGAAGAGGTTTAGAGCACTTTGAGCAACCTGGAACATTTGGAGCAACTTGGAGCATTTTGAGCAACTTGAAACGACTTGGAGCAACATGTTGCATCATCCATGAAGAAGTTGCGCCAAGTGGAAGGTGTTATGCCACTCATGATAGATATTGCCCCAAGTGGAAGATCTTGTGCCAAACTAGTAGATGATGTGCCAATGTGAAGATGTTGTGACAACCTGGTAGAAGTTGCGCCATATTGGAAGCATGTTGTGTCATCCTTGCATGAGATGGTCCATCTTGGTGTAAGATGCACCAATTTGGTTCCTTGATAAGCCATGATATCCCTGATGTGTTACACCCTGTTTCGAATCGTTTCATAATTCGGGGCTGTGACCCGAAGATCGGTTATCATAAGGCTTAGGGCCTTTGGGAAAGATACTTAGCCCCCTTTAAGTGTGGATAATGTAGATTGGATGATCGGGGAGTTCAGTTTGTGTTTTGGAGTCCAAGGGTATATCAGTAAAGTATTAGTTCTAGCATATATGAAGTTTGGGTTTAAGTTCGGAAAGTTTTAAGGCAAGGGAGAGTTGATATAAGTGTAGAGCTTCTCGTTATCTTTTCGTGAATATAAAGAACACTGAAATCAGACTTAAAACGAAGAAGTTATGGCGTTCGGAAGATTGGCGGTTCTTGACCCTAGCCGAGTACGTTGTGTGTATGCTAGGAGTATGTCGAGCGTACTGGCTCGACATCTGGATCGTGGAGACTTTAGTGTACACATGGTTACGTGGGGCGTACGCACAACAAGGGCAAAACCCTAAAATTTAGGGTTTGTGCCCTATTTAATCACCTTAGGTAACTCATGGATCTTTTATGACTAGCCTCTGCTTCTCCAAACCCTTAGAACGAAGCCCTAGTGCCTTTTATGAGATTTGGAGCTTGGAAGTGAGTTTTTTTGGTATTTTTTATGACTTGAAGGAAGAAGAACGTGTTTGGGAATAGCTTAAGCTTGTAGATCCAGATTCATCATCATCTTTGCAAGCTATTTGAAGTATAAAGTTTCCTACTTGATGATTCATTGTGCTAGATCTAGTTTAGGGCCTTGTTTATGCATTTTTGGGTTTCTTGAGTTAAAGTTGAGATTGATCTACTCCAGAAGCCATGGATGTTAGATCTTAGCTCCATTGAGGTCCATTGTTCATAAAAATGCAAACTTTATGAGAGATATTGAACCATGCATGTGTTAAGACCCTTATTAAGCTTCTTTTTGAGTGTTGGGTTCCATTAAGTCATGCATGGGTGTAAAGTTGCCAACTTTACGTATTAAATCACCATTTAGGATCAGATCTGAGAGTTTGGCAAGTTGTCTTAACTAAATAAGTGCTTAATGGAGATGATTGGGAATTTGGGGAGTACATTAGGCGTACCCAGTTAGTACATTGCGCGTACTAGCCCCAGAAGTAGTACGCTAAGCGTTTGAGCTGAGTACGCCCCGCATACTCAACATATTAACTTTTGGGTTTGACCTTCACAGGTTTGGCCATATTTTGGGCTTTATTGGGCCATTGACTTTTGATTTTGGGCCTTATATAGACTATAGACTTTCTCGGGATTAGGTCCATGATGATTTTGGGCCCAATTTGGAAGGTGGGCCTTATTGGGCTTTGAGATGCCAATTAACGAGTTTTCGCCTTTTGAGCAATGGGTTGAGACTTGGTTTTTGACCAAGTAAGAAAAAGGGTAAAATGACCTTTTTGACCTAGATCTGGGTCAAGTAGCTTAGATTATTGATTATGGGTCGAGATCCAATTATTAATTGGATATTATTTGATGATGTTATCGCAGGGATTTTCCGAACCAGCAGACCGAGATTCATTTGAGTGTTTCAATAGCTAAAGGTGAGTTTCCTCACTGTGTTTAGCGGGTCAAAGGCACCAATGTCGACCCATGATTTGTTATGTTTAGAATGCTAGATGTATGCGTGACTCTTACATATGTTATGTGTTTATATGTTTACCGGGCGGGACCCGATGACTATCATGTATGTTATTTTATATTTGTGATTATTGCATTTGTTTGTATGATTATATGTTTATAAGTATATCGGGCGGGCCCTGATGACTGTCATATTTGTTTACCGAGCATGACCAGATGCTCAACAGGGCCTATTATATGTTTTATATGTATGGTATGTGGTATATTGGGGAACTCACTAAGCTTTGTGCTTACAGTTTTCAGTTTATGTTTCAGGTACTTTGATTTCAAAAGAGAAGAGTTTGGGATGACTGCATTGGACACACCACATTGTTTTGCATTTTATATAACTCTAATGTATTTGGATGTTTGTTGACATACTCTAAGTTCATTGTGGTTTTATAATATTGTTTTGGATAATGGTTTTATTAATATAAGATCAAAATTTTTGGTCTTAATTTTTGATACGTTACATGATGAGTCACGTGTGCTATGAAGTCCTCTCAGATGCTCAAGAAATACACCATGTTTTGCCACCATGATGAATGTTGGGTCACTAGTGTTCATGATGCGCCAATTGTGCATCATGATGCTCCATTGTGGCTCATCGTGCTTCATCATGTGCATTGTTGATACTCATGTGTTGTATGTCATAGATGAATGTTCCAAAAGCTACTGCATGGCAAATTATGATTGGTTGACACCATTCATGAGCCTATGGGATAATAGGCTTGACCTATTTGGATTTTAGGTCTGATTTCTTCAAGTATAAATATGGATGAATGCTAAGTCATTTAAAGTGTCTTTTTTTTATCCTTACCGAGTATGACGAATCTCTGTCGAGTTAACTTGTAATTTCTGTTTGAGAACTCTGTATGTCGCATTGACCAAACCACGTATGTTTCGTGTGTTATCCATATTACTTAGTAACAAAGTCACCAGAACTTTGAAAACGACATCATATTTGTTATTTGTTATAAGTCTTGACAAGTATCGATTGTTTTCCCTATCAATATGAAAAGAGATATAACAATGATAAAAAATACCATTCTACAAACATTAGTATATGAAAAAAAACAAGCTTATTGGTGTTTTAAAAATATTTAAAGGCTAAAAGATAAAATAAACACAGTATAAGATAAATATATATTATTTTAGTAATATATTATTTTATAATTTTATGAAATTATCCAAATTTTAACAAAAAGGTTTAGAATATAACATAATTTTTCATAGAAGAAAATTACCCAAATAGTAAGGAGCGGAAAGACGAAAACGAACGGCGTTGATAAAAGAGAGCTTCGCATCTCAATCGTCTCCTTTCATCTCTCTTCTCCAGCGTCCGATCGATCTCTCCATCTTCATCCAGCGACTCGCGCCCAAATCTTTCTCCAACTTTACGAATTTTTCTCTCTCCATCAACTGGTAAGATTGTAAGAGAGCAATACCTTCATTTGTATACAACAATTTCATACATTTTATCCTATATGCGTACATCTGACCTACACTCGCATCGTTTCTATCTTTATCTTAATTAATCTCATCGAAGGGTTTTTGGATGGTCGTTTGTCGATGGGTTTGCTGGAAAGTTTGGTCCTTATCCTCGGTTTGTTGTGGATTTTGTGGTTTTCTACTCTAGGGTTTTGCTTTCCCGATGGCGGATGTTCCGGTGAGTCCAGGCGGCGGGAGTCATGAGAGCGGCGAATTAAGCCCGAGGTCGTCGAATGTCCGGGAACAGGACAGGTTCTTGCCGATTGCGAATATCAGTCGAATCATGAAGAAGGCGTTACCGGCTAATGCGAAAATGGCTAAGGATGCGAAGGAGATTGTTCAGGAAGCTGTTTCTGAGTTCATCAGCTTTATCACTAGCGAGTACGTTTATATACATCTAAAAATTTCTTCTGATTAGGATTTCCGCATTGTTGAAATCGATTTTAATCTGTGTAGGGCGAGTGATAAGTGTCAAAAGGAGAAGAGGAAAACCATCAATGGTGATGATCTTCTTTGGGCAATGGCTACTCTAGGGTTTGAAGATTATATTGAGCCTCTTAAGTTATACTTGATTAGATACAAAGAGGTATTTTTAGCTTCTGTGTACCATTTTTTGTGGATTCAATTTTATTAGTCACTGATGAATTTGTGTTTCTGTTTCTTTATGCTCTTGAACGGATTGCTGTGACAGATGGAGGTTAGTGAAAGCTTTTTTATTTATCTTGATCTTAATTACAGAAACTTATTACTGTTTAATTTTTAATGCATAATTATTAACAAGTTTCATTTTTAGGGTGACACCAAGGGATCTTCAAAAGGGAGAGATGGGGTGCAACCTGATCATGATCATAATGCACAGGTTTCTTTTCTTTTCATTTGTTTACAAAAAGTTTTTATAAAATACAATGCAAATTGACTTTTTTTTTTCACCATCTATAAAAATCTACAGCTTGCTCATCAAAGTCCATATTTGGATGATCTAGATTATGGAAACTCACAGGTATTCTTTATAGCATCCATCCTACTTTCATTTCTTTCTATTAATTTATTCTTTATAAGACATTGTACTTTGAAAAATCTACCCAGTTATCAATTATAATAATGTACTTTCACCTTTTAAAGTTATTAGGACATTATACTTTGAAAAGTCTATTCAGTTATAGCATCACATTGCTATAATTGGGTATTTTTTTTGTTCTCAATTTTGTAATAGGAAAAATGAAAGAATGATATTATAATAAACTTATAAATGAAAGTAAATTGCTATTTTTTGTGTTTATCAAAAGCTGATTTCATGGGTTATGATTTATGACAGATGCAGAGTCAGCATATGATGGTTCCGATGCAAGGCAGAGATTAATTAGCATTTCCTATAATTTAAATTGGTCGATGGATTTTAAAGAGATTTAAAAAAAAAAAAAAAAAAAAAAACTTTTTTTTTTTTTGTGGTTTATTGAAATTATCTGTTGTATTTCACAAATGAATTGGTGGAAGAAACGTGTTTTTGAACCCGAATATTGGATACATTCCATTGTTTTAATGCCAATGCAAGCATTTGTTTGATGTACAAAATATAAATGCGTGATTACTTGTCATTGTGGTACATGTTTAAAACACTTTATCATAAAGAGATTCAATTATTCAGTCATCTTTATTGTTTAGCTTTAAATAATCTTAAAGAAAAAGAAACTAGTGTTTGGGATTGCTTATTATTAATTTATCTGGATATGGTACTACTAATAAACATTTTTAAGTGTTTAGATGTAGTTTTTGCTAAATTGTTTCTTTTCAACTTTTTCTAAAGTGCTTGTTATATGTGAAAACCAATGTACCCTTTTATTATTATCTTAACTTCTAAAAAGATATAGATCGTATCCTTGGGTGGGTACCAATTTGCTTTTTTTACCTCTGTTTTGTCATTTTACAAATATAAACAGTTAGTCAATTATCGACAAATAACTTATAAGTTTTTATGTTGCATAGACTAATTCAAACATTTTTTTAAACCCGGTTTTATACTATATAGTTAATATATATGAAGTATAATTTGAAATAAATAAGCAAAATCCCAAACGCCCCTAAATAAGTCAAATAAATGCCAAAATAATATTATTATTTTACATATTATTTTTGAAGGTGAAATATTTAAATATAAGAAAAATAATTTTAGCTCGACCATGAACTTGTCTTGTCTTGTTTTGTCTCCTTATGGAATTTGCGTTGTCTAGCTATTATTTAGGCTTTACTCTAAAAGCTTAAAATGAAATTAAGTAGTATTTGCAAGGAGACAACTATTAATTCATGACAGATGGTCATGAGACTAGAGGGAGTGGGTGCGGCTTGGACCGCATTCCCCTTGCCACATAAGCACAAACACAGCCTCCTGAGTGCGGTAGAGAATACGGTGCATCATTCAAAAGGAAGAACACTCATACAAACAACGTGATTGGTTCCTTTTTCTTACCTCCCTCTAATTGGTTCATTTTATTTATTAAAAAAATAATAATAATAAAATACAAAGTGTGGCACCACTCATTGGGTGTGGTATGAAACCAAACTTTTGTGGTAACGGGTGAGGTGACGCATACGTGTCACTGCGGTTTCATAAGGGAGTGCGGCATCACTCACTCCAGCCTGAGTGATGGTGATAGTGGTGGTGATAGCGGTGGGAAGATGATTTGGAAAAATAAAAAGCGGATGTATTGAATATATTAAAGTTTCATTATTTTAATCATTTAAAATTTTTCTTATTTTTCTTATAAATTCAAACTTCTTAAATTATTAAAATTTCATATGCAATTTTTTTTAATAAACTCATGTAATATATGGATCTCACACTTAGTTTTTTAATATAATAATTGCAATAAATATAGTAATAAATAAATATTAATTTTTACTAATAAACTTACATTTTAATTTCAAAATTTCTAAAATTAAAACTCATTGGTTTCTTTTCTTTATTTAAATTATTTGTTTAAATTTAAAAGATAAAAAACATTTCCATTATAATAAATCATTATTTCTCTTTTTCTTATAGATTCAAAATTCTCAAAAATTTTGATATTTATATTTATTTATTTTTTAAACTAACTCATATAATACATGAGTTTCACAACTAGTCGTACATTATAGTATCAGTTAAATTGATATAAAGTAATTTATAAATTACTTAATTGATAAGAAGTTATATCATAGTGCAAAAATAACATAATGAAATATAATAAGAACAATCTTTGTTTTTGAGAAAAAAAAAAGGCAAATCCTATCAAAGAACTACACCATCTTGAAAATGATATAGATCATTTTGAAATTCTTATACGTTTTGTATGATGAATCGGATAATATGTTTAACCATGTAATGCATATTTATTAAATTTGTAATGATTACTTTTTTGTGTCTAAATATGTGTTGTGATTTTATAAATCAAACATATAAAAAGGAAATCAAGCAAGGTGCATCATCCTTTACGAACAAAATATCAAACCTAGAAAACAAAATATCTCAGAGCACTTGCAATGTGTAATATCCGGATTTAAGACTAGAAGTTCTGTAATTTTTAGTAAAATAAAACTTTTGAGAAATAAATATAAATATATTTAGATAATTTAAAATATAGTTTAATAAAACAAATTACATAACATAATGAAATGTAATATCCGTAAATTTCACAAAAAATTTAAACTTTTTAAAATATCCAAAGCTGACCATTTATTACAATTTGTTTTCAAATAGTTAAATATTAGAGAAATCCCAGAAATCATAATCATGAAAAACGAGGAGGTGCACGACCAAGCCTTCGTCTTCCCGCGATCATTCGAAGTATCTGAAACAACATCCACAATTGTAAGCATGAAACTTAGTGAGTTCCCCCAAAATACTTGCACACATATAATAGCACACATATAATAACAACATACTATGGGCCCAATCAACTATGTTTGAATGCCCCAGACCCTCAACCATCAGGTTGGAATGCCAACATACTATGGGTTCAATCATCCTCGAGATGGTATAACATCGGCCCTCAACCATCAGGTTGGAATGCCCACATACTATGAGTCAAATCATCATCGGGATGGAATACTCTCGGTCCACAACCGTCGGGTTGGAATGCCCAGATACTAAGAGTCCAATCATCCACGGGATGGAGTACTCTCGGTCCACAACCATCGGGTTGGAATGCCCCCATCTGTTGACTCATGCACAAAGCAGAAAAGCCTTAACCACCAATCAAACATATGCATATATATATATATATATATATATATATATATATATATATATATATATATATATCAGATAATCACATAACAGTCTATAGACAGTCAAACCGATCTACATATTACTAAGCATAACAACATCCTATCTACCAGGATACCGATCTAACAGATCATAACCACATAGAAACATCTTATCTACCAGGATATCGATCTAACAAATCATAACAGTAATAAAGTAGGATAACAACCCAAAGGGCCAACCTTAATGCCTTAGACCCTTGAGTATTGTGAGGAAAACTCACCTCACAATGTCGAACTGAACTGAAAACCTCCGGCTGCTGACTCACCAAAATCCTTAACTATCACAATAACGAACACTAATCAACAGTTGGAATATCAATCTTGGATAAGGGCCCAAACATAGGGTAATAGTCCATTTTACCCTTTCCCTAATTTAGGCCAAGGCCCAACTCCAAATCCTTGATCAAAAGGTCCAAATATACAAGGCCCATAATTGGCCCAATTTTCCACATTGGGCCCAACTCTTTAATTAGGCCTCATCCTAAGGTCCATTTCTATAATTAGCCCAAGACACTTATATTCAGAAAGTCCAGCAAGGGCCCAAGCCAAAATCGCCCAAAGATAGCCCAAATCCGAAGCCCAAATCGCAAAAGTCCAACAGAGAGTGTACGTTGTGCGTACCCTAGAGTTACACGGGGTATACGCTAGCCTTGCGTTGACTGGAAAAGGGGGCATTTACTGCGTACGTGGGGCGTACCCTCGCTGTATTCAAAACTCCAGTAAGTGCTTAATGGCTTAAGCACAAATTCTAGATCCATTGACCAAATGTATCTCAGAACCATAAAGTCTCAAACTTTAAGACTTTATACATCCAAAAAGTCCTTAATACATGGTCTTAATCCATTAAGACCTTTCTACCAATTGCATGGGACATTTCTAGCCATTGGGACTTCATTTTTATCACTTAGAACCCTTCCTAGGGTCTAAAAGGACAACTCAAAACGTCCAAAATGAATCATGCATTATAATGGGACTTTATGGGACAAAAGAATGCAAATAAGATACCGAGGAGAGATCTAGAAGAAATAGACACAAAGGTAGCAACTTTGTACCTTCTGGAGCTTCCAAAACAGATGACGAGCCAAGATCTACAAGCCAATCTTCCCTCCTTGACTCCTTGATGCACAAGCTTTTCCTTTAAGGCACACAAAACACACATATAAGCTCAAAATGATCACTATGAGGCTAGTGTTCTCTCAAGACGACAAAGGGAGGTTTAGAGGTTGAAAGAGTGAGCCACAATATCTCATAATGGTGCTTAAATACTCCACAAACCCTAAAAGTTAGGGTCTTATCCAGACACACGTACGCCCATTGTACATGAGTGTACGCCCAACGTACTAGGGCGTGCCCTAATACGCGTGGTGTTCCTAAATGTACGCCCAACGTACTACTCAACTTCCAAAAATTACCAATCTGCCCCTAGGGCTAGGTCCAAACCAATATCAGGGGCCAAAATTGACTTAGTAAAATATCAAGGAAGGATTCAAAAATACCTGGAATCCAGAATGGTACATGAAATAAATTAATCTTGGTAAATTTAAAAGTTAAGACATTATTAGAATGTCAAAGTAGGGTTAATAAGAAAACTTAAGGTTAGAATCCTAAAAAATATCGTCTATCACTTCATGAATCCTAAATCCTGAAAAATCGTCTATCACTTCATGAATCCTGAAAATATCGTCTATCACTTCATGAATCACTCCATAGTTGAAGGTAACCATTGTACTATACTTTTCCCTAAAATATCGTCCATCACTTCATGAATCCTAAAAAATCCAAATTTGAGATGAATATATTATGAGGAATGGAGTTTAGAGCTAGTTTATAAGTTGTGGCTCTTTTGAAAGTTGGAATTTGAATCAAATTATAATTTGGAAGAGTTTAAACTCTAAATAACGAAGTATGTAAATCTAAAGGTTAAATTAATATTAAAATTAAGTTTCTTACCTTTATTTTAGGTAACTAGTGTAACATCCATAAAATTCATAAAAATTTAGAACTTTTTCAAACATCCAAAAACCATTACTTATTACAAAATGTTTTCAAAATAGTTTCATATCAAAGTATGTTAGAAATCAAAATCATAAAATGTGAGGAGGTGCACGATCAAGCCTTCGCCTTCCCACGATAATCTGAAGTACCTGAAACAAAATCCAAAACTATAAGCCCGA